GAATAAAATTGATTGTCAGAACTTCCTCTAGCAGCTCCTGGAACAAGCTCTGTGCATTGTGTGTATGATTGCTGTGACTTCACAGGGACACTCCACTGATCTGCAGACTCTCAGCATTGCCTCCCGAGATTCAGCAATGGCACATCAGGCAAAATCTGTATTGTTTACAAACATGTAACCAAAGGCGATGTATTCCCACCATGAGCGCCTGCGTCTTCCAGGAATTTGCATCTCCCCGATGGTGATAAAGATTCAGAATCATTAATCCTTTCTGTGAAAAAGTCGTCACTTCAAAGTCAACCTCTGTCTCACCAATCTAATTATCTTTCTTTAAATCTGACCTCCGTCCTCCCCTTCTGTCTTCTATCTGACCTCCATCCTCCCCTTCAGTCTTCTATCTGACCTCCGTCCTCCCCTTCAGTCTTCTATCTGACCTCCGTCCTCCCCTTCAGTCTTCTATCTGACCTCCGTCCTCCCCTTCAGTCTATCTGACCTCCATCCTCCCCTATATGTAAACGGAAAGATTTTACTTGAAAATGTCATTAGCATGTTGATGAGGGAGGGGGAGGAAACCAGGGAAAGCAAAAGACAAGCAGATTAGGCTTCAAGCTTCAAAAGCCCTTTAGAGATCGGCTTCCCAAGTCGTTCTGGAGAGAAGAGTTCACAGCAGGGATACACCAATACGTTTTTTATTTTGGTATCGAGTACCGATATTTATCTTTCGATACCGCTACTTCCGCAAGCATGGAGCCGGCTTCCCAGGCAATCTAGAAGCCGGGCGGCGGTTAATGACTCTCTGCCCTGTTTCTAGAGTGCCCAGGAAACTGTCTCCATGCTGATTGGCCCGGGAAGTCAGTTTCCCAGCCAATCGGCATGAAGCCGTCTAACTGGCCAATCAGGAAACTGGGAGGCAGGTCATTACCCGCTGCCCGGCTACCTGATTGGGCAGGAAGCCGGCTCCATGTTCCCTCACGGCACTGCCGATCAGAGGAAATCTCCCTCTGGCCAGAAGTTCCGGTAACGGGGAAGGCATCGGCGTATTTGGGCCAGTACAATACTCGGTATAAGCACCGATACTAGTATTGGTACATCCCTAATTCACAGGTTTATTCACACTTTTGTAGATATTTGGGAAGAACGAGCAGAGAGATTTGTCCTTGGCTGCTTTATAAACTGTACACTGAGTGGCCAGATTATTATATACACTGAGTGGCCGGGTTATTATATACACTGAGTGGCCGAATTATTATATACACTGAGTGGCCGGATTATTATATACACTGAGTGGCCAGTTTATTATATACACTGAGTGGCCGGATTATTATATACACTGAGTGGCCAGTTTATTATATACACTGAGTGGAAAGAAAAGATCTGAGGCTCGGAGTGTTTCCAGAATTATGAAAATGTTTTATTATTAAACATGACGAGTATAGACAAGAACAGAAATGTAGACGTCATGAAGAACGATGCCGTTCACATGCCGGAGATTTCAGCCGATTGTTTAGAGTGACCCTTTCCTGTGTCCATGCTGGGCAAAGTACAAGCGTCAGCAGCAAAGTGTAACACCCAGCACCTTTAGGTATGAGAGACTGAACAAAATAAACAATATTACAGTATCTAAAAGGCAGCCTTCGATATAGGATGAGCTTTAGCCAGGTCACATGACCGTCCGAATACCTTCCCGCCATCTGTACGCATATATATAAGGTGGGCCTGATTCCATACATGCGTCCCTCGTTTGTGCTGGGAGCGTGCTCAGTCAGGCGCCACTAGTGCTGTGAACACGCCGTCACTTAGCAATGCTCGAGAGCCACGCTACGGCCTATGTCACCCAACCTCTGGCCAGCGCCCAGATCGCTATGTAATGGGGCAGAGAAGTCGTTATCCATTTGCACAGGTCCCTCCTTCACTGACCGCATGAGAGAAGCATCACTCTTGCTGGTGCACTCTTGCGGGACTTCGGGCTCCCAGCTCTGCTGCGTCATTTGTACCTGCCGCAAATGTCATAAGCTGGAGGCAAGTTTTTTTTGGGGGGCCAACAGTTTTTTCTATACTTTTTCTGTTAGTGGGGGCTGGTTAAAACCCCCAAAAAACAATTGGACCTTCTGTTTGCTATGGAAGATCCGCTATAAGGACTTTGTTGTAAAAAATACATGTTTCCTTTAAGCTCTGCAGACATGTTCATATGGTCACATCAGATCTTCCTATAACCAACTAACACCCCGGCAGCAATGTAGTTTTAGTGACGTCAATTGCACAACAGGCAGAATAAAAAAAAATGATATATATATATTCAACGCCACAACAGGCTCCAGGCACGGTTCACCGCCTCCTTATACACTCAGAAATCGGGCTGTACAAAAGGTTCGGCTATCTATAAGTTCACAAAAGCAGCAAGCACAGAAGAGCAGGAACAAAGCGTGACACGAAGATTCAGACTTCCCACCTGTAAACGGGTTTCTTAAAGTTGAACTCTGAGATTTCCCCCCAAAAAATCCTTAAGGCCGTGACACACTGCAGACGAAGCAGCGCGGAGCGGTGGCGCGCTGCCTTTGCGAGCAGTGTGTCGTGTCACTTTCTTCTCGGCACCTCAGCCGGCGAGAGCTCGCGGAGCTGAGCGTGCCGAGATGAACAATTTCAACTTCAGCCAATCGGCTCGCGCGTATAAACCGACGGGATGCAACGTCTGGCCGGTTGTTACAGACGAGCCGATTGGCTGAAGGTGCTGTCAATCATCTGACTGCACTCAGCTCACACACTGCACGCCAAGCTCCGTGCCGGAGAGCTTTGCTTCGATCTGCACGGCTTCGCGTGCAGTGTGTCACGGCCTTTACACTGGCGTCCCCGCACTGCAAGGGTTCAAGGAGAACTATGGCCCAACCTGTTTTGGCGGTAGTTCTCTTTAGGGTCACAGGAAAACATTTACCAATAGCCTCCTGTGACCCAAAACTCAGCATATCTCGGGCTATTGCCTGCTATAGGCTGACAGAGCCGCGCTGCAGCCGGGAAGGATCCAGACAACATTGCCTGATTGACAGCTGGCTCTGCCTCTCTAGAGCCGGAACCAGCTGTGCCCGCCCCCTCCCCCGTCCGTTCCGCCAGTCAGTGCTGAAGGAACGGAGAGGGGGGGGGAATCCCTGCAGGGAGTGATAACTGACAGTCACCGCAGGGAGAAGATCGGGAGCTGAGAGATCAGCAGTTTGTGATCGCTCAGTTCTCGATCTATAGAGCTGACGTGTGACAGCTGCAGTCACACATTGGCTCCCACTATGGGGATGAGTATTTCACTCACCCCACATTTCTACTTTAACCGCTTAGAAGTCTAGGGGTAGAGGAATCAGCTGTAAGACTCACCTTATTCCTCGCTCTGGTAGGCTTCAGCTGCTGTTGGTTGCGGGTGGGTCCTCGCCATTGTCACATACAATGCAGAACTGCTGCTCGTGCATTGCACTTAATGACGACAGAGTGCGACCTCCACCCTGCGAGCCTTAGAGAAGAGGCAACGGGGGAACGGTTGCACAGCATGGTGGAAACCTCCGGATTGAGGAATACGGTAAATGTTACAGATGATTCCTTTACCCCTAGAAATAATAAACATTACGATGGCCCGGGGGGGGGGTGTGCTTGGATCGGGACTGCAAGGGTATTTTAAAAATGTTTAAATCCTAGAGTTCAGCTTTAACAGTAAACAAAAGACGCCCTCAAACAAGTGCATTTTGCAGTCCACAGGAGATTATGCTTTTGCAGAAAATTTTTAAAGCAGAACTATGAGATGAGTGATTTCCACTCACCTCATAGTTCTAGCCGACCTGTGACAATGAGACTGTCACAGGTCGGCTCAGTAGATCGGGAGGTGAGAGAACACATACCGGCGCTCGCTCACCTCTCGATCCTGTCACGGCTCTCTGCCGTGACCGGGGGCGGGGCTGGATTCCCCTCTCCGATCCGCCAGCGCTGACTGGCGGAACGGACGGGGAGTGGGCGGGTACAGCTGGCTCTGCCTCTAGATAGGCAGAGCCAGCTGTCACTCACGCAGCTGGGCGGATCCCGTCGTCTAAGTCTCCGGCGTCTCAGTATACCGCGATCATACTGAGCCTAGGGTAACGGGAGGACGCGAGTTTGTGTCCTCCCGTTACCCTGAGAACTATGGGGAAAAACACTGACCCCATAGTTCTCCTTTACCAGAACATAGTCAAGTTTAGCTAACCTGCCCCCCCATAAAGGCTGTTCACTGTACAACGCAAACTGAGACAGTGCGCAAATCAGAACAATGACGCCCCCGCACAGAAACGTGCCTGTGAACACACAGCAGAAAGTATGTCGGAGACAAGAGAAGCTCAGAGACGATTCTTCTTGAGAAAATAAAAAAAATTGGCTGAAATGTAACCAACAAGATGAAAAAAACAGAAACAGGACTCAAAGCCCCCAAAACAGGAACGAGTAATGTTTTGGCTCCGCCCTCTGGGAACCGGTGTGAGCAGAAGGAAAAAAAATGCAGATCCTCAGCCCCAGAGTGCGCCCAGCAGTCAGAGTTGACAGACAATACGGAAGTCTATGTCTCGGATGTCGCGGTTATTTGCGCTTTGTTGAGTCCTCTGATGGACAAATCGTACACGACCTCCTCGATCTTCTTCACGTCGTATTTCAGGCCATCGTAGCGCTTCCTCAGCGAGTCGTTTTTCAGGTTCAGCAGCCGGAAGCCGAAGTCCAGCTCGTTGATGAAGGTGGCGATGCGGAGCGGTCTGGTGTAGTCGCCGGCTGTGACGCTGTTCACCGCCAGCCTGGACTGAGACAGAACACAGGGCAACGTCTAATATCAGAACCAATTATGCAACGCCCCCCCCCCCCCCCAAAAAAAAGCAACTAACACGCCCCCCCCCCCCAAAAAAAGCGATATTAAAGCCCCTCTCCGGGCATATCTCAGCCCTCCCCCCACTCCTCCCAGATCTTATGATTAACATAATGTAGATTCTAGAAGAGCCGTAACTGGGTTTTATATACTTACCAGCTCACTGGCCAGGTTCAGTACCCCAGACAGATAATCCTCTATATCCAGGTGGAAGCCTTTCTCCCGATCACATTCAACTAGGATCAGAGAAGACCATTAGAAGATGGAATGATGCACATGATGTGACTTACGAAACAAAGAAGAGTAGTGATGTAGTTATGAATTATTTGTTATTATATTTATTATTACTACAGGTATTTATAGAGCGCCGACAATTTTACACAGCGCTTTACATAGTTGCCCAATCACATCAGTCCCTACCCTCAAGGAGCTTACAATCTAAGGTCCCTATCTCACATACATACATAGAGGGCCAACTTAGAGAGCAGCCAAGTAACCTGCCAGCATGTCTTTGGTGTGTGGGAGGAAGCCGGAGTACCCGGAGGAAACCCATGCAAGCACAGGGAGAACATGCAAACTCCTTGCAGATAGTGACCCTGGCCAGGATACGAACCAGGGAGCCCCCCTAGTGCTGCAAGGCACTACACCACTCTGCTGCCCTGCTTTGACATGCAGTCCTGAGATCATCTGAAGCAATACCCCAGTCACCAATCAGATACAAACATTCACTTAGAGAATGAATGACCGGTTGCAAAACCCAACATGGACAACTCTTAAAAGTGACCCTGTCACCACCTAACACTTCACTGGAGCTCAGTACTTACTGGTGCTGACATTAATTCTTGAGGAGTTGTTTTTTTTTTTGGAGTAACTTTCTCAGCAGGTTCCTTTAATATTAAAAAGTTGAATCCATTTTGTTTATATGTCCTGCTTTCAATTAAAATATTACAGATTTACTACTACGGTGTGCTGGTGACATTATTTTATTTTCTGTGGTACATACGGTGCCGTCCGTGGTCATTACAAGCACCCACCCATATGGGTTCCCTCCGGAAACGAGTGCAGCAAGACCTCTGGTCCTTAATAATCTCTGGCCTTACCTGTCCCTCTTGGGTGCCCGGGACCCTCATGACAGGTGTCAGTATGAGAGTGGAGGGACATCAGCGAACATCAATTCACTGGTTGTCACAGTCGTCAACATTTCAGCCTTGTAGCACTGAGGGTCCCCAGTTCAAATCCCGGTCAGGACACCATCTGCATGGAGTTTGCATGTTTTCCCTGTGCTAGCGAGGGTTTCCTACGAGTACTCCGCTTTCTTCCCACAGTCCAAAGACATGCTGGAGGGTTAACTGGTTTATGTCTGAATTGGCCCTCATATGTATTTGTTTATTAAGCTCCTTGAAGTGACATTAAACCCACAGATTGTTTACCATAAAACAATAGTGTAATGTGCGCCTTACTGTAATCCATGGTAGTTTCCCTTCTCTTTGCTGCTCTTCCTTTTAAATCTGTATCTCTTCTCATGCTGGGCAGAACTTCTGTTTTGCAGCAGACTGCCTTGTCTCTGGAATGGATACATGGTGTCTGTGTGAAGGTTCACAACCTGAGCCAGCACTACAGGAAGAGGCACTCTGCTGCAAAGGGAAGTTCTCCCCAAGCATGAGAAGACATGAGGATTTAAAAGGAATAGCAGCAAAGAGAAGGGAAACAACCATGGATTACAGTATTGGTTTATGTCAAACAATCAGAGGGTTTAATGTCACTTTAAGGGGCAGAGACTGATGTGAATGTGCACTATGCAAAGTGCTGCGTAAATTGTCAGGACGTCAAGCCTCAATATTGTGTTTGTGAAATGGTCTCCAAAATTATCAATAGGAGACACTTAAAAAGCCTTTACAGCTCATCAGCTTAAAGTTAACAATAAATGAGGGACCTGGAATTATTTCTCTCACTTCGGCATGTGCTGCCATACCCATTATGTGTTGCTCAATCGCTCCCATACATGTGCACACCCTACGTGTGCGTTTTACAACTTTCTTTTTTTAATGTAACTATAATTTACATTTAACATTTTTTTTTCCCACCTAACTTTATTGCCATCAAAAGGGGATTAACAAACCCTCTATGATAGCATTGAGCATGTTACAGGTCCTCTTATGGAGACCCCCAATGTCTCCTTTGCCCCCGGCTCCAGCTGATCAAGCATAGACTGTGCTTGATCGGCTGTTTTCCCGGCTTTTCAGGCGGGATTTTGACAGGTCTAAATCTGGAAATGCTCAGAGCCGAGAGCTTGCAGATTCGCGCACTGCGGAGGACATTAGGGAATGGATGTTCCTCGGGGTCCTCCTGCTCGCCATCCTGACGCTTTTTGTTGTGGTCGCGGGAACCCATAAGGAGCGAGAGAACCTGGGAACCGCAGTCTCAGTCCCGTAAAAGTGACAGGCTGGCTATATAGCAGCGGAAAGGCAACTCTAGCCCTCCAGCTGTGCTTTAAATACAAATCCCATCATGCCTCTGGGAGTCATGCTTGTAACTGTCAGTCTTGCAATGCCTCATGGGACTTGCAGTTCCACAAGAGCTGAATGGCCGAAGTTGCCCTCCCCTGCTCTATACCAATCCAGATCGCTTTTGCCTAAACGCTAGAAGCCGGCTGAACAAAACAGAAAACAAGCTTAGGGCTGGTATTGCAACCATGGGCTTGTTTCCCTCCTTCAGGGCCTGGCCGTAACATAGCCAGACAGCTGAAATGGTTAAAGACAAAAAAAAAAGCTTCTCTGCTGAAAGCTTTGCTGTACACTCCTAAACACGTTGAAACTCACACTGCTGAGCTCTCGGAAAACGTTTGTTGCCTGGCTGCCTTGAGACAATGATCCAGAACCAGCATACAGCAAGTGGAGCTGAACGTATGGATCTACATTCTTCTTCTGGGTTAGGCCTCATTCACACACAACACAAGCAAAATTGTATATTGCGTATATAAGCGCCTATGCGCGTACGTACCAGGGTATATCCGTATATGCGTGCACTATATGCAATCCCAGAATGCATCACTCGTAATGGAATTTTTAATGTGCTGTACGCATGTATATGCGCGTAAATACGCTGCCGGACGCATCTCTGTTCCATTCTGTTTTTTCACATATGTCCGCTACGCAAATAAACGGCTCCATACGCGGCTGTGTGTATGGAGCCATTTATTTGCATAGGTTGCATATGGTACAATACGCACGTACACGCGTATACGTGCGGCAGTGTGAATGAGGCCTTAGCGGTTCATTAAATCACTGAAGGCACGAGATCAGCACGATCCCCAATGAATGTCTTCGCGAGGAGGTCAGCAAGCAGCAGCCCCCATGCTTCTTCCACAACAAGTCTCCGCTAATCGGAGTAAGTCCCTGCGGGGTAAAGAGGGCGAACGCCCTATCGCAGGATAGGACCTTACTTCCCAGCATCTCCGACACGGCCTCCCGGGTCACCAGCTGCTCGCTCTCCAAGAAGACCAGGAACGCGGCCTGGAACACGAGACGCTGCAGAACAAACCGCCACTGATCGTGAAACCTGAAAGACGAGAGAAATTACTGACACTCGCCGTCGTAGCTCACGGGGAAAAATACAATATTTCTTAATGGGAAGCCAAAAGTTCTACAAGTATATCTAAAGACAAAAGAATCTGGAAATAGGAAAGGGCCGGAGCCTCTATTTGCTTAATTCACTGTTTGTGTCCTGTTGGTGAACCACAAGCCCAAGCATGCCTTGGGGAAACAAGTCTCATCATGCCTTGAGAAAGAACAAATCCCAGCATGATTTAAAGGAGAACCATGAGGTGAGTGAAAATCGCTCAGCCTCATAGTTCTAGCTGACCTGTGACAATGAGACTGTCACAGGTCGGCTCAGTAGATCGGGAACTGAGCGAACACATACTGTCGCTCCCTTCTCGATCATCTCCCTGCAGAGAGCCGTGACTGTCACTCACGGATCCCCGCAGGGATTCCCCCCTCCCCATTCCGATCCTCCAGCGCTGAGTGGAGGAACAGAAGGGGCGGGTACAGCTGGCTCTGCCTCTAGATAGGCAGAGCCAGCTGTCACTCACGCAGGTGGGTGGAACTCTACAGTAATGTCGGGATCCGTCCCGGCTGTGGCTCGCGATATACTGAGCTTTGGGTGACGGGAGGACGCTAGTTTATGTCCTCCCATGACCCTTAAGAGAACTATGGGGAAAAACACTTACCTCATAGTTCTCTTTTAAGGGCCACGGATGTTACGGAGATCTAGAAACCCCAGCGTGCCTTATGGACCGTAAATCCCAACATGCCATGAGAAAAGAAAGGTTCCAGCATGACATAAGGAACCATAAAGCCCAGTAAGCCCCGAGGACTACAAATTCTCAGCCATTCACTTGACTTCTCGTCCCAGAGACAAAACAGGAAGTGAGGGACAACCTCTCCAAGGGGAGGGGGAAATCTCCTTAGTTGTCTCACACAGACAGGAAGTACACGGACCCGGAAAACACTTCTCAGCGCTGATCCCGGGAGACGTTCCAATGGGAAACGTCTGCATCGGGCCTTACCGGTAATACTGGTCGGAGGGGAACTTGGTGGCCAGTTCGGTGAGCTGCGTCCGGACGGTGCTGAAGTGTTCTCGCGCCTTCAGGCACTTTGCAGGAACTGAGGTAAGAAAATGAAGAGGGGGAAGTGTTAATTATGAGGACAACTCCGCCCACAATATTCCTGCTCTTCTGCAGTGTCATTCCTGCAATTTCATCGGAAGATCTCCGCCCTGGGATCTGATCCAACCCAAAATGTAATCAGGGAGGATTCTCTACATAATAAATACCCGGGACACGATCGGCGGGACAATTTGGGGGGAGGGGGGGTGGAGAAACTTTATGAACACATTGAGGGCGAATCAACATTGCATTTGTTGACACATTTCGGATGTTGTGGTCAAATTCATAAAGAAGAGAGACAGTTCTAATGCTATTAGCATCTGGTAGTTCTTATTAAAGGAGAACTATGAGGTCAGTGTTTTTCCCCATAGTTCTCCTTAGGGTAACGGGAGGACACAAACTAGCGTCCTCCCGTCATCCCAAGCTCAGTATATAGCTGGCGGTATACTGAGACGCCGCAGCTGAAGCGGATCCTGACAATTGTGCCTGGATCCGCCCAGCTGCGTGAGTGACAGCTGGCTCAGCCTATCTAGAGGCAGAGCCAGCTGTACCCGCCCCCTCCCGTTCCGCCAGTCAGCGATGGAGGATCGGAGCGGGGGGAATCCAGCCCCTCCCCTGTCACGGCAGAGAGCCGTGACAGGATCAAGAGGTGAGCGAACCCGGTATGTCTTAGCTCACTTCCCGATCTACTGAGCTGACCTGTGACAGTCTCATTGTCACAGGTCGGCTAGAACTATGAGGTGAGTGAAAGCTTTAATAGCGAGTCTTTTACAATAGGGCGCAATCGCTGCGACAAATTCCCCACCTTTTTCAGAGAGAAGGAAACTGGCGGGAAAAAGAAAGACCCATTTCATGTTAGCACAGTCTGGTCCCAGCTCTGTGTAACCTCCCCCTCCTTCACAACTCTGGTTGCTGTGCCACCAGCGCCCTAGCAACCAGCGACACCTTCAGCAAGGAAACCAGCATCCGATGGCGCTTGCAGTGAGGCCTCTAGTGTCCTAGCAGCCAATAATGTCTGTGCAGCTGATCATTATTGGTTGCTGGGACACAGGCAGCCTGGCCAGCGTCTTAGCAACCAATGACGCTGTGCAGCTGACAGCATCCTAGCAACCAGTGGTGCTCAGCCAAACAGTGTTCATTGGTTGCTAGGACACAGACAGGAGGCCTGGCCGGTGTCCTTGCAAAGATGCAAAAGGATCGGCACCAAAATACTGAAGGAGTAATGGCACATACGTGAATCTGTCTCACTCACTGACATTCATTGTACGGTGGGCCAGATGTCGCTCTGTGTGTTCCAGGGGATGTCTTGTATACAAAACCATTCCATGCACACAATGTGGCAGCCACAAGTGACGCTTGCAGGCCGCTCCTTCCGCTAGTAGAGCTCGGCCGATGGATGACGGGGAAAAGGGCGGAGTCAGTGGACGGCGCACTCACTGTTTTTGAAGCCCGCCTCCTGGTGGACGCCCTGCAGGAGGATGAGGATCTCCCGAGCCGTCTGCTCCAAAGTCTGCACCACCTTCCGGATCTCCTGCAGAGAACAACCAACAATTCATTACACATCAGATGGGGAAACCTGGGGAGAACACAGCGATATCTCACCCCAATGCCCCCCATATCATGGCACACCCCACCACCCATCCCAGTGCACCCCTAAATCATACCAGACCATCACTCACCCCACTACACCCCCATATCATACCCCCACCACCCATCCCAGTGCCCCCCCATATCCTACCACCTCAT